TGCCAGCAAAGGGGACGGTGTTGTGGTGAAGGTGCAGGGCTTGGAGTCCAGAGTCCTGGGTTTTATGTTTGGTTGTGATGCTGACTTACTGTGACCTTGATTGAGCCATTGAACTTCTCTGTGCCTTAGGGTCTTCATCTGTCAATTGGGGTGATACCCTCCTTCAAGGGGATGGGCCAGGCTTGGCTCTGTTCTTGCCTTTGCTATCTGGAACCGATGGGTCATTGAAAACTATGGATTAGATTACCATTTATTGTTTATCTTTTCGAAAGAGTGAAACCCAGCTCCCAGTGTATTTCAGGGGGAACTGGGCATCTAATGCTCTTAGGACCCTTTGCAAGTTCCAGCTTTAATCATTTTCCAAAAGCCAATGTGGTGTGTGCTGGGGATGGGCTTGAGACCATCAAATTCATTCCATTGTGGCCTGAGCCAGCTTGGAAGACAGTCCAGGATTGCAAGGCTCAGGGGTGAGCACTCTGCACTGTCTAGGTCACTACTTCACTTCCACTTTTGTCTAGTTTTATTTATGCCATTCATTCCCCCCATCTCCACCTCACTCTGCCAGCGTTGGCCTGTCTGGTCTCTTCTCAGAGACTTGAACCCCCATGTAGCGACTCATAGAACCATTTGGGCTGGAATGGCTATCTGCTGGGGCATCTAGTCCGTCCCCTGCCCCAAAGCAGGATGAGTTTCATTATGCCCAAGCATCCTCAGGTGCAGAATATCTAATCTAGCCTTGAGATGATGATTTCCACATCCTCCTCTGGCTGCTTTTTTCAATGGCCTACATTGTTCCTCTGCAGATTTTCCTAACATTTACTATCAAACGTCCCTGCAGTAGTTTAAGCCCTTCAAGAATATCAATCAAGGGAGATTTAGGGGAATCCGTAATAAAATATGGCAACATAAGAGAAACTATCCATATATTTAAAGATCCACATAGCAGTGTTAGGCCATGTCTACACTTACAAGCTAACAGCAGTGTTAGGCCATGTCTACACTTACAAGCTAACAGCAGTGTTAGGCCATGTCTACACTTACAAGCTAACAGCTGTACTGGTACAGCGGCGCCGCTGTAAGAGTGCTCATGTAGCCACGTTATGCGGACGGGCGAGAGCGCTCCCATTGACATCATAAAACCAGCTCAACGAGCGGCGGTAGCTATGTCGGCGGGCGAGCGTCTCGCGCCGACATAGTGCTGTGCATGTAAGCGCTAATGCCAGCAAAAGTTATGTCGCTACGGGGAGTGGTTTTTTTCAGACCCATGAGCAACAAAAGTTTTGCTGACATAAGTGCTAGTGTAGACATGGCCTTAGTCTCAGCCAGGAGGGCATTAAGTATGAAAACTGTGGCCTGCGGTAGGGTGACCAGATGTCCCGATTTTATAGGGACAGTCCCAATTTTTGGGTCATTTTCTTATATAGGCTCCTATTACCCCCCACCCCCATCCCGATTTTTCACATTTGCTGTCTGGTCACCCTAGCCTGCGGCCAGATTTGCAAAGGAACTTAGTCACCGAATTGCCTCTTTAGCTATCTTAGTTCAACGTTTAGGTGCCACTGGCATTCACAAAACCACCATGCAGCTGCTGCCAAACCCTGAAGGGGCCTAAATCCCCATAGGTGCTTAACTTTCTGCCGGGAGCCATGCACCAAGCTGCCTAAGTCCTGATCAGCCCACAGCTACCATGCTGCTTGGCATCTGAGCTTATGCCTAAATCCTGACGGGATTCTCAAGCAAGGCATTCCCTCGTCTGTCTCTCCTGCAAGGCCCAATCCTGTACATATTCCCAGAGCACACCCTCCCAACCCTAACCACCAGGGGCAATCTCACATCTCTGGCCTAATGAATATTTGACACAAAGTGGGACACAGTTTCAACAGGAGAAAACACACACACACACACACACACACACACACACACTCTCTCTCTCTCTCTCTCTCTCACAATAGCCAGTCTCCTGGAGGTTCGGGCACTTCCGTGCAATATGGGAGTTCAAGCCCCTGCTCCAAATCAGGCAGGAGAGGGATTTGCGAACAGGTCTCCTGCCTCCTATTCTAACCACTGGGTTCTTGTTTGTAATGAGGAGGGGTCTCTCTGTGGTGTTTTTGCAAGAAAGGACTGAGCTGGCTTAGGCGCCTAACTCCAAGAAGGGGATTCCGGTGGAGGTGGGCACTTTCTTTTGGCCTGTCAGTCAGGCACCTGAGGCCTAGATCAATGGGCATTGGGTGCTTATGTAGCTTTGAGGATCTGGGCACTTGCCCCTTTCCTCTGCATTTCGCTCTTGGCTAGCTTAGGTAGCTCACTGCTCAGCTTGTGGCTTCTGGGAATCCCTTTCTTAGGCAAAGTGCCCAGGCACCTAACTCTGGGATCTGAATACCACGGGGCAGCAGGGCGCCTAGGGAGTTAGACGTCGAAATGCTCTGTCCCCTTTGGGAATCTAGCGCTTTTCCTTAAGGAGGGGCAGTAGGCAAAGAGCCAGCAGATCCGAGAGACCTTCTTGGCTCTGACAGCAAGCTGTGCGCCCTTGAGCAAGTCAAGCCACCTCTTCTTCCCTGTCCCACCATTGGCTGTCTTGGCCATTTAGATTGCAAGCTCCTTGGGGCAGAGGCCGTCTCTCTCTCCCTGTGTTTGTACAGTACCTAGCACAAGCAGGCCCTGATTTTGATTGTGGCCTCTGGGAGTTACCATAATTCAAATAAATAATATATAAGGCACTGTCGCCAACTCTGTCTCAACTTCCCAGAATCCAGGAAGGGATTTCAGTTTTTTCCATTAAGGAAAACAAGGATAAACAAACCAAGGAAGGAAATTAGTCAAATCAAAAGCCTAAGACTTCTCTTCTGAAGCATGAGAAATAATTAACCAATGTGGGTTTAGTTTCCCTAATGCTCTTGCAGATGCAATTTAATTAGTAATTTATCTTGGACTATCTAGGTGCTGAGTATTCTGGAGGTCTAGCACAGGTTTTATGAAGTAGTGTAAAAATTGAGTAATTCCCATGGGTAGATTCACTGCTATGAAGAAGACCAGCAAAGGCCTTTGTATATAACTTTAAATCCCATCAAGCCCTCAGAAGAAGGTTCAAGTGATCAATAGGTCTTGTTTTGTCCCTCTGTGCATGGGTCAATTTTTGTGAGTAAAAAGGACTCAGAGAGGCGCAACTACAGGTCTGAGGCCTAGAAAGGAGCATCGCTGGGAGACAGTTCCAGGTGAATACAGCAATCCAGTTCAGGCTCTTTTCCAAGGAGTCAGAGGCTCAGTGGGCCTTCTTCCATTGAAGTTAAAGGGAGCCTTTACACTGCTGTTAATAGGAGCAGAATGAGACCCATATCAGAGATGGAGAAGAACTTTTAGGTCATTTCAGTCCATCTCCACTGAGGGAGGCATTTCCAGTTTGCTCCTTACAATATATTTTCTAGTGCTAGTTTACATCTCCTTTAAGAGATGGTGCTTCTGCCATTTCTTCAGTGAGACCATGCTGCAGCCTAATAAACCTCACTGGGCCAAATTCTGCCAACTTTACTCATGTTGAGCAGCACCTGATTCCAGGAGTACTCCCGCTGACTTCAGTAGACTATTTGCAGAGTAAAGCTGGTGAAATCTAGCCTCTGGACGGCTATTCGCCACTGGCCCTCCACCAGTGTGATGCTAAGGGTAGGTTATAGGTTGGATATTGAATGGGAAGAGGGAAGAACATGAAGAAGGATAAGCAAAATAAAAGAATATTAAACCAAACATCACTTGTTATTAAAACCCCTTTTATATTTTGGAAGGAAGCATGGTTTTGTGCTTCAGACATAGAAATGGAACTTGAAAGCTCTGGGTTAAATTCCTGGCTAAACCTCAGACTCCTTCTGTGACCTAGTACAAGTTACTTAACCTCTCTATGCCTCAGTTTCCCACCTGCAAAATGGGGATGAATATTTCCTTTGTACCACCCTGTGCCTGTTTAGATTGTAGGCTCTTTGGGGCAGGAAGTGTCTTTTACTATATGTATGTGCAGCAAAATGGTGTCTCAATCTCTTCCAGAGCCTATAGATGATAGCAAAATACAAATAAATAATAATAATTTAGCTTGTGGTTGTTTGCTAGAAAGAACAGAAAATGGGTGTCTGGGTACCTTATATTCATCGCACCTGGTATTTATTAGACAGAAATTGGCACACAAGAATATGGTACAACTAGTTAATAGGGATTTTTTTTTTCTTAGCAACATAGATGTGGTCACATTTCTATAGACAGTCCCACATACACACCAACACTCACACACATTCACCCACATCCTCATTCCCCTTCATAATCACGTACACCCTGTTCTCTTAATTAGGGTCACTTTTAATTAATATATATATATATATAGCAGAGGTTGGGTGGGTGGGGAAGAAAAGAAACCATACTTGAATTCGAGTATCAATAAAATAAAAAACTCTCAACCAGCTGCATTGCTGGTTTTATTACCTGTTAGTACTTATTCGCACGCCTGTTTATAAATAAATAGTACCAGTAAAATATTACATCTGAAGAACCCTGCAATAAAAGTTTTTATTTATACACATTTTCTGCTTCCCTGCCACCCCTGTGTTTGCTGCACTTTTAAAACATGTTTTGTTCAGTGTCTCATTTAACCTATGTGAACTAGTGTTCGTTTTTCTTTTCTTCCTTTGATTTTTGAAGAAAAATAAAGACTGAAAAGAAAGAGATGATTTTACACATTTACATTTTCACCATTCTTTAAGAATGCAGGTTTTTTTTTTCTTTTGCTGTCAGCAACTCCCTGGTTGGCTCAAGGCCTTGTTTTCTTGTTGCTGTTAGGAGCAGGGCTGACGAGAGGAGGGGAAAGCCGGTACAAATTACCGGGGCCCGGTGGTCCGGAAGGGGGCCCGTTGCCCGGCTTCCCCCCCACCCCCGGTCCGCCCTTGCTGGGGGGCCCGAAAAAATTCCGGGCCCGGCTTCCTCAGCTGCTCCCCCCCCTCGTCGGCCCTGTTTAGCCAGTCCGCCCTTGCTGGGGGGCCCGAAAAAATTTTTTCACCGGGGCCCGAACCCGCTCTCGGCAGCCCTGGTTAAGAGTTCTCCTGAAGACCAACCTGGCTTTCAAGTTTTTAAGCTAACCCAGGACGTAGGCGTTAAATAAGAGACAGTCAGGTAAAGAGGAAGAAAGAGAGATGTGAAGGGAAGAAGAAAGAGAGAAATACAGAGCCCAGCTTGGCAAGGAAATTATTTTACTAGACTGCTTCTTTTGGAGACAAATTTCAGGCATGTCGCATTTATATTGAAACACAGCACAATGCAGTGAGTAATTGCAATCATGAAACAACACATGGCAGAGGTAGATACCTACTTTTCTGATTTGTGGGGGTGTCATTTGTTTTTGTTTAAAAAAAAATAACACACACTGAAATCCACCCTTTTTAGGCCTCTTTAAAAAGGGACAGTGTCTTTTTGAGATAATTGCAAGAATATATATATATTATTATTATTTATTATATAACAATGTCAACATCAAAAAAAAAAAGTAACATCCTAGTTGTTTTCGTCCAAGCACTCTGATTGTGTTAAAGGCAGCAGGAGTTGTGTGTTCACTTGAAAACCAGATGGAATGAGGGCACAAGTTTTGTGCAGCAATAACACAGAATTTGTGCAAGTGTCTGGAGAAGGGAATGGCGGGGGGAGTGTGCTGTTTTGTCGATTTTCTTTTGGAACAAAATAATAGAAAAAAGTCACAATGAGCTATTTAATCTGTGGTTTCAAACAGCTGATCGGATCAGTGTCCATCTCTCGCGTCCTAACTGTGAACATTCAGTTAAAGGAGTCTTGCAGAATATTCTTGTTTGTTTGTTTTCAATTTTTCATGGCTAGATTTCTTGCATTTCCCTTATTGCCTTGTTAGCTGTTCTCGCTCCACTCTGGCACCATGCCCACCCCATGAACAGAGTGGTACTGGTGAGGTGAAAGGGTTCTGGGCACCCCATGGGAATAAAGGAATTCTGCTGGCTGTATGCTGGGAGGAGACTGGATGCCCGTTTGAGGTCCACACTGCCGGATGATGGGCTGGTGAGAGACAGAAGTTTGGTGCTGGAACATGCTGTGTGTGTCCCCTATCTGTGGTGATGTGTGATTGGCCACACCAGTGAGACGGGGCATAAGAGGACCAGAGGTGAAATGGGCCGAGAAATGCTGGTAGGGTAATCTGTCCATAGGCTGCATGGCAGTTACTGTGCAACTGCTGTAAGATGGCACGGTAGGCCACGTATTACAGCTAATGTCTTCCAGGCTGGGCACAGGGTCCGTGGGGGGAGCAGAGCTGGCATACATACAAGCTTGGCGCTGAGCAGATTCAGTCCTGTACGAGGTATTCAGTCCTTGCTGCTGGGAGTAACTGGACCTGTAGAAGGGATCCTCGTCTGCTGGTGAGGTTTCCATGTAGGGTTTCTTGTACGGATGCTCAGTGGTGGAACATTCCTCATCTGCTGAGAAATAAAATACATAGTTATCAATAAGAACATGTTGCCCTGTGTTGAGCCTCCCATCCTAGGATCGTAAAGTGCTTTACAAGGATGGGTCAGTAGCATCATTATCCCCGTTTTTTCAGAGGAGAAACTGAGGCACAGCAAGGTGACTTGCCCACAGTTACACACAGCTGGGTCAAATTCTGCTCTCAGATGCACTGCTGTAAAGCTGGAGCCATTCCATGGAGCTGACCCAGATTTACATTGGTAAAACCAAAAATAGCATTCGACCCCAGGTCTCCAGACCGCCCAGATCCCTACTTTGTATTCTAGAAAGGAAAACAGGCAACAAGATAACCAGAGAACAGCCAGGACAGAATTTAGCAACAGGTAACAAAATTCTGTGCTAGGTTAGGTTTTCCACATGAAGTGCCTACAGGTCACCTTAACCTTAGTCTCAGGGAAATCCTTTAGAAATAAGCATGGGAAATGGGAAATGTTTATTGTTAGGGTCCAAGTTTATGTGATGAGAGACAGTATGGTCCACTGGATAGTTCATTAGCCTAGGACTGGGAGACCTGGCTTATATCACTTGGCTCTGCCACTGACCCCTTGTGTGACCCTTGGTAAGTCATGGCACATCCGTGCCTCTGTTTCCCTTCCCACCTTTTCTCGGTCTTCTCTGTTTAGACTGCAAGCCCTTTGATCCAGAGACCGTCTCTTGCTATGTGTATGTACAGTGCCTAGCACAATGGACTTCTGATCATAGCTGGGGCTTCTGGGTGCTATTGTAATCCAAATAATACATAATGATATACTTCAGCTATACATATGGAGCTTACCATAAACCCACCCTGGCTTATATTACTGTTGCCTGATCGGAAACATCTAATTTCAGGGTTTACACCCCTAAATCAAGTGTGACAAAAGCAAAAGCAGCTTTCACCACTAAATCATAAAGAGCTTTTTCCAGGGCCGTCTTTGGTTTCTGTAGCATCAGTAGTTGAGTTCATAGCAGCAAGAGGAATAAGCGAAACAGCTGAGATGCAAATCTCAAATAAATATGTATTTAGTCATAGATTGAAATCCTGGCTCCACTGAAACCAGGGGCAAAATTCCCATTGCTTTCTATGGGAGAGGATTTCACCCATATTTTTAATGCCAGATGGGACCATTGTGATGCTCTAGACTATGTCCTAGCCTGACTTCCTGCGTAATGCAGGCTATAGAACCTCACTTAGTAAATGCCGCATCAAGCCTATAACGTCTGGTTGAGCTATAGTTGAGCGTTAGCATCTCTTTTGGAAAGACATCCATTCTTAAATTAAAGACTTCAAGTGATGGAGAACTCACCAGGCTTTAAATAAAGTCTAGAAAATATCTAGAAAAGTGGACTTCTGACGCTGAGTTTTCAGAGAAGGATGCAAACACGAGGGCTGGTCAAAAACTTTCCATCTAAATAGTTTGTTGAAACCCCAGTTTTCTGTCAAAGGTTTGTTTGTGAAAAGGGTCTGCTTTTCACACACAAAAATTGAATTCTCATTGAAAAATGAAGCACCTCAGAGTAGAAAAGTTTGCAGGTTTTGGCTCAAAATTGAAAAAATTCTATTTGGAATTGTCCCCACAGTGCCTCAGAGGAGTTCTATTTTGGGTTCCTCAGGACCCTATTTTCCTCCATGTTACACAGCAAGACTACATTTCCCATGATGTAGAGTGGCCAGAGACTCCCTTGATCCACTGTAGTGGCCCAGCAGGAGGGGGAGACCATGGTGCATAATGGGAGTTGTAATCTGGCCTGATATCCAATTCCATAGAGGAGAATCAGGGCATGAGGCACTCAAACTGCAACTCCCATGAGGAACCACAGCAACATTTTTTCAAATAAAAATGTTCAGGTTTTGGCCTAAAAATTTGCGGGTTGGATTATTTTTTTGCCAAAAAGTCAAAATTGTCATGGGGATGGGGGGAGGGGAGGAAGGGGCAGGAATGAACATTGTCAGACCAGTTGTAGTGAAGAGTGAACGTGCAAAGATGCAAGTACCCACCAAAATATGTGTACACACACATTACCTTCAAAATGCATGTGCAGCTATCATCTCTGCAAGTGTGTGCTCTCCTGCAAATACAAGTCTGCACATAATGTGCCTGCAAAAATCCCCAGGCACCCTGGTTGCCTGCAAAACCTAGTATTTGCGTGTGTTGTCAGACTACATCTCCCATGATGCACCATGGGCTCCCCTCTTGCTGGGACACCGCAGTGCATCATGGGAATCCCTGGCCATGCTACATTGTGGCCGATGTTCTCTTGCCGCAGAACCCATCCCACAGAGAAAAATGGAGACATGAGGAAAACATGCAAATGTAGGATCTTGTTGGTGCAACCAGTGAAACACACTTTTACAGGCTTGCCCATAGCTCACTGCTTTGAAAATTGGGATACTTAACAATTGCCTGTATATCCAAATTCATATACCTGGGGCCAAATTCATTTCTGGAGGATTGCAATCCCATTTTACAACACTGAAATCCACATTTTAAGCAAACACCAGAAATCTGAATCTCTAGCTATAGTTACAGCTATAGATAGTTTACACTGACAATCAGTGGATATTGTACACTTTCAGCTGCACTTAAATCTGAGAGTAGAAGAGGAGAACAGCACAATTTTGGGGTGAAATTTGGTGACTTTTTAAAAGCAGTTAAAGATTTACTATTACTTGGGTATAAACATGCATTATTCTCATTATCATTGATCGGATGGATCTCAGTAGTACTAGAAAAACAACGAGGAGTCCGGTGGCACCTTAAAGACTAACAGATTTATTTGGGCATAAGCTTTTGTGGGTAAAAACCCCCACTTCTTCAGATGCATGGAGTGAAAATTACAGATGCAGGCATAAATATACTGACACATGAAAAGAAGGGAGTTACCTCACAAGTACTAGATTAATACTAAATTAGTACTAGACTAAAGCTTACATAGTGTCAGGGAATCATGGACATGATAGCCCTAATCCAGCAAAGCACATAAATTTAAGTCCTTTTGAAGTCAATGAGATTTAAGAACAAACTTAAAGCTAAGCACATGCTTTTGTGCTTTCCTGAATCTGGGCCTATATCAGGAGATGGATTTAGAGTAACATCCTGTCTAACCCTCCTGAATATTTCAAAATTCTGGTCCCAAGAGCCGCTACTGAATAATAAGAACACTAGGGCTGAAAAACGTCTTGTAAAATGAAGCATTGTTCTGCTAATAAATTTTTCATCATTAAGCTGTAACACAGCCCAAGCCATGCTCTGCTGGCACTGGGAAACAGCAGCCCTGGGTTTTACTGTTTATTTTCCTTTTTAAAAAATAGTTGAACTTTGCGTTTTTTCATTGTACTAAGAATTTGCTTGAGTTACAACCGTAGGTTGTTGATTTTTCCATTTAGTCAGGACATTCTTCTCCCTTCCACAGCAGAACCAGGCAAACCTCTCCAAGTTATAGACCCTTTTCCAGATTTACTGTCAGGTGCAGAGAAAAAATAAACCTGACTTTCATTTTGTAAAATCAGGTTGTTATAGGTCAGAACCTCAGCTGATGTAAGCTGGCATAGTGCCTATGAATTCTCTTGACATCAGCTGAGAAACAGGCTCTCTACTTCCACACTTCAGTTTCCCCAAAAGTCTGATACCAGCCCCCCCAAAAGAATTCTATGGTTTATCCTAACTGCTCTCAGTCTGCCCTTTGGTCCATCTTCCCAACCCCCACCCCTGCTCATTCTCTGAACAAGTTCTTCAGTAAGGAATAAAATGCCATTTCATCTTGAAAATAGTTGCCATTGTACAGTGCAGAAGCCAGTTCCTCAGCTGGTGTAAACTGGCAAACTTCCATGGGGCTAGATTCTCTGGTCTGCTCTGCTCCCTTTCCACTCTTCCCAGAGCTCCCCAGCTGGGAGTACACCTGGCATGGAGTCCTGAGCAGGCACAGAGCTGACAGATCAGATTCCTGTGCCTTCCTCCCTACAGCTGGCAAATGGATCCTAAGAAGCCATTGCAATCTAGCACAGTTTAGAGCAACCCCAAGACACCTCTAAACTGTTCGGGGGCCAGGACACAGAATCCAAGGGCCATAATCCTCATCCAGACTGCTTCCCCACTTCCCAGCCTACAGTGAACATAGCAGATAATCTTGACCATTGTCTTCAGTGGAAGTGGGCGGATTTACATCAGCTGAGGAACTGGTCTTGTGTGCTTTTTCCTTGATGTTAATAACCTGATAGCTTTCTAATGTATTCATTCTTGCAGGGCCTAGTCCTTCAAGGTGACAAGCACCCTGACCTCTGGCTACCATCACTGGGAGCTGAGGCTGCTAATCATCTCACAAGATCAGTCTATTATGATGGGCAAACCTCAAAGGTCTGAGGGTTCTGCTGAGTGTGGAGAAGCAGTCAAAGTTTGGGCAAAGCTTCTCCAAAGTGTATCCAAGCAAAACGGAGACTGCTAAATTAGCTGGAAACTTCGTGAGAACTGGCTTCCTCACAAGGAATTTGGTGCTCCTTTTATTGAAAGGATTTGAGCATAATTGGACCCAAGATTTTCGGTATTTACGACTTCCAGCTGGGTCGTAAATACCACAAGAAGAGCTTTTTAAATGGAATTTGCACGTTTCTACCACTGGTCCCATCCAGAATCAGGTACAAAAATGTAAACTATATGGGCGGTTTTGTATCTTGTGGGTCAGATCCTCAGGGTTTCTCCTTTCAAGTCACTGAGGATCCGGTCCACTAGACTCAAGGCAACAAAGAATTGGGCCCTGTTTTTGTTTATAGAAAAAGTTTGTCCACATTCATCAGGCTCAAAAAAAAAAAAAAAAAAAAAACAGGTGGGCTCAATTTGAGTTTATGCTGAAGGCATGAATGCTTTTTGTTATTATTATTCTACTCAATCTAGTTTACCGTCCCTGGGTTTGAATAACAAGCCGAAAGTTATAAGGCCAACAAGAAGTAGCAAAGAAAACAATTCCTGGGAGGAAAAGG